AAAAAAAAAAAAAAAAAAAAGCGCCCCAAAAAAAATACAATAAACAAAATCGAGTAATTATTTTTTTTTAAAACAGAAAAAGTCCACTTTTAAATATTACTTCCTTCTCTCACCATTTTAGTTTCACTTTTAAGTTATTGTCACTATTTTAGCCTGGATGGGAAAACAAAACAAGAAATGAAATGCAAGTTAAACCCTTTGCACATGTATTTATTTTTTTTTATTTACTTTTTTTTGGGTAAAGAATCATTTTATTTATACTTATTTAATTATTTATTCTTAATTTGATCAGAAAAGGACAGAGAGAGTGAGACAGAGAGAGAAAGAAAGTGAAAAAGCTGCCAGGTCTGGGATTCAAACTACAGTCAGCCATGTGGGAGTTCAGTATCCTTAACCACCACACCACCTGCTGGTCCCCGTTGTTATTATTTTTTAATTTGACCAGAGAGAGAGGGAAAGTGAGAAAGCAAGTCACCAGGTCTGGGACTTGAACCTCAGTGAGCCATGTGGGAGTCCAGCACCCCCAACCACCATACCACCTGCCACCCCACATGTGTCTATTTTTAAGAAATAATCTGTATTGGGACAAGCATATGACATAGTGGTTATGTTGCTAGACTTCCGTATGGCCGACCATGCTTTTAGTCCCAGACCGGGTGGCTTCAAAATCACATCAGGCACTTGTGCATGATTGCCCAAGAGAAGAATGGAGAAGGGATTAGGGTGTGGCCACTTCCCCTAGGGATGACTTTCTCACTTTCCCTTTCTCATTTTCCCTCTCACTGTGTCTGTCTCTCTCTCTCCAGAGGACATGCACCCTAAGGAAAAAAATACACTCTCCAAAAAAAAAAAAAAATCTGTATTGACAAATATTGCCTTTTAATAAGTATTAATGAATGCCCCATGTGTATATACTTAAGGCCAATCCAAAAAGTCATGTTCAACTACAACTTTCTTTTCTTTTTAAATATTTCATGATATTCTGTTTTTTCTAGTATGCTGTTTTGAAATTCTGGGAAGGAAAAGTTATAGAGGCATGCTCATAATTATTTAATACTGTATAAAGAAATTAACTTCTCGGGGCAACAGGTGGCATGGTGGTTAAGGTGCTGGACTCCCACATGACCAACCATGGTTCGAGTCCTGGACCTGGTGGCTTGCTTTTTCACTTTTACCCTCTCTCTTCCCCTCTCTCTGTCTCTCTCTGGTGAGTGCATGTGTCCTATAACAAATTTAAATAATAATAGTAAATTATTTAAAAAAAAGAAATTAACTTCTCATTAGCCAAGTAGTAAACTGCAGTCAATACTAAATCATGAGGGTAGAGAGAGCAATAGTTCAAGAACTTCATTGACCAAGTTTAAAGAGTAAAACTAGAAAGAGGAAAAAATGGGATGCAGGAAGTGGCCCATTGTTGTAAGTATTACCCGTATGTGGTATTTGGAAGTATAACGTAATCCCGGGAACAGTGAAGCTTTCTGAATGTATTTAAAAGTGTGAAACTATGAAATTTTCAAGCCCTAAATTAATCATGGATGTTGTGCCCTCTATAGGAAGAAAATTTATATAAAGGACTGGGTCAGATTGATAGCTTAACTAAAAAGCCAGACTGGCTTAGATTTGGAGTTTACCAGTTTATTCAGCAT